CATGTAACACCACTGAGTGAAGTTTCCAGACAGAGCAAAAACTCCTACCTGCAACCTGCAACCTTCCACCCTACCTATAGCAATAATTTTCTCCCTGCTCCCACCCTTCCCCTCTCCCCGTCCGTCCCTCCCGGGCAGGCAGATGAACAGCGAGGTGACATTCAAGGCAGCTCAAGTCGCGGGGCATAGCCAGTGCAGCCAGCCAGCCTGCCCCTCTGTGTGCTCTCCTGCCGGGCCTTCCATGACGCCTCGCCCTTCTCTTCTGCCCTTACCCCCTCCCGTCCCTCCCCGTCCCTCACTGCCAGGCAGATACAGCGAGGTCACATTCAAGCTGCAGCTCAAATTCCGCAACCTTCCCTGACGCCTCTCCTCTCCTTGCCCACTGCCTCACTCACTGCCAGGCAGATGAACAGCGAGATCACCTTCAAGCTGCAGCTCAAGTCGCGGGACATATCAGTGCAGCCTGCCAGCCTGCCCTGCCTTCTGTGTGCTCTCCCGGAGGGCCTTCCCTGACGCCTGCAGCAGCATCACCGTCTCCATCAACGCGTCTGTGCCTCTGAACGGAGCCAAGTGCCAACCCTGCCACCCCTGCGCTGAGGGAAAGAGGTGAGAGATGGGAGGGGGTGGTAACCAGACGGGCATACAGACAGACACTTGCAGCAGCATCACCGTCTCTATCAACGCGTCTGTGCCTCTGAACGGAGCCAAGTGCCAACCCTGCCACCCCTGTGCTGAGGGGAAAGAGGTGAGAGATGGGATGGGAGGTCAGGGTAGGTAGGTATAGCGTAGTGCTGGTAACCAGAGAGACAGTTGCCTGCAGTAGCATCACCGTCTCTATCAACGTGTCTGTGCCTCTCAACGGGGCGAAATGCCAACCCTGCCACCCCTGCGCTGAGGGAACAGAGGTGAGATGGAAGGGGGTGGTAACCAGATGGCATACAGACAGGCGCCTGCAGCAGCATCACAGTGTCAATCAACGCGTCTGTGCCTCTGAATGGAGCCAAGTGCTAGCCCTGTGCTGGTAACAGGGGTGGTAACCAGGCAGTTGCCTGCAGCAACATCACCGTCTCCATTAACGCGTCTGTGCCTCTCAACGGCGACTTTTGAGGCGCCTCAAAAGTCATCAGTGTCTCCATCAACGCGTCTGTGCCTCTCAAAGGGGCCAAGGGAAGGAGCCAGTGGCTTGCTGCCACGTGGCTTCAGCAGCAGCACCAGCAGTCAATGATTGGCTCTGCTCTCTCTTTTTCTCTCTCTCGCTCTCGCACTGCCTCACTCTCACCCTCACTCTCACCCTCACTCTCAATCCATTCCTCCCCCAATCAGGTAGAAGCCATTCTGAATGCCACGTCACCATCATCTGACAAGTGGTTGGTCCCGTCCAATCAGGAGTCGCCTTCTGTCCGGGTGGGAAGGGGAAAGGGAAGGGGCGGTCGAGCACGGATGGATCGTGGCCGTCGGATTGGGAGGAGATTTTCCGACGAACGGTGGGAGATGAGCTGGCAGCGAGGCAGAGAAGGATCAGAAGGAGAGTGGGGGAAATTGACACATGCACTCGGTTCCTGGAAAAGGTGATCATAGCGAGTGTAATAAAAAAGGTGACAACAAGTATTGTTATTGAGTGACTAAGGTAGGTTGTGTGATAGAGTGACTAAGGTTGGTAGTATGATAGAGTGAATGAGGTAGGTAGTGTGATAGAGTGACTAAGGTAGAGTGATTAAGGTAGGTGAGAAATCAGGTGAGAGGGGGGGTTGAGTTGTGCAGTCGATTCTTGGGAGAGTTGGCTGTAGAGCGATAAATGATAGAGAATCTGAGAAAGGTGATTGATTATAAAGAATGTGTGGAGGTGATTATGTGGAAGAGGTGATTATAGCGATTGTTCTTATAGAGATTGTTCATTTGGAGGCTATGGTATATCAGCTTCCATCTCGTCTTGTGTGCTCCCCGCCTTCTTGCTTGATGCTCTGCCTTACATCACACCCAATACCTCATCACCCCTCTCTACCCACCACTACCGCTCCCACACCACCATCACCCCTCTCCATCGCAGATGAGAGCGACTGTATCCAACTAGGACGCCCGCTCGTCTCTCTCCCTCTGCGTCCGCTCTGCTCTTGGTGCTGCCAACATGCTTGCGTGCTGCTCTCCCTTCCACCCACTCCCCATCACCACTCGCCAGCTCCAGTTACCTCTTTCCACCCCCCGTCACCCCTCTCCTCCCCCCATCACCGCCCTCCACACCTCACAACCCCTCTCTATCACAGATGAGAGCGACTGTATCCAACTGGGACGCCCCCTCGCCTCTCGCCCTCTGCGTCCGCTCTGCTCTCGGTGCTCCCACTGTGCTCGGCGTCCCACACGACTCCTTCCCACTCTTCTCCCCTCTGCTCTCCCCCACAAGGTCAGCTCTCCTTCCCTCCTCCTAGGTAAGAAAGCCCCCCTCTCGCCCTCTCTGTCCGCTCTGCTCTCGGTGCTCCCAGCGTGCTCAGCGCCCCACACGACTCCTTCCCACTCTTCTCCCCTCTCCTCTCCGCCAAAGGGTATGTCTTTGCTGCTTCCTCCTGCCCCATTCCCCCTCGCTCATCTCCCCATTCTCCTGTTCATTGCAGTCGAAGCTCTTCCAACTCTCTCGCCCTCTCGCTGCTCCCAGCCTACTTGCCGCCCCACAAGACTCCTTCCCCGTCTCCCCTCTGTCGTGTTTTGAGTCGAACCAAAACACGACTCACTGCTCCCAGCCAACTTGCCATCCCACAAGACTCCTTACCAGTATTTCTCCCCTCCGTTTTCCCCTGAAAGGTGTGCCTTCGCCCCACAAGACTCCTTTCCCCTGAAAGGTGTGCCTTCGCCCCACAAGACTCCTTTCCCCTGAAAGGTGTGCCTTCGCCCACAAGACTCCTTTCCCCTGAAAGGTGTTCCTTCGCCCCACAAGACTCCTTTCCCCTGAAAGGTGTGCCTTCGCTGCGTTAACCTACTCCATTCCCCATGCTCCATCTCCCCTCTCTCCTGCTGCGTCTAATTCCCCTGCTCTTTCTCTCGCTCTCGTTACTCCCAGCCTAAGTGCCGCCCCACGAGACTCCTTCCCCGTCTTTTCCCTCTGTTTTCCCCCCTTCTCCCCTCCCCATCCCATCAGCCGCATCCCTCACTTGGAATTCACGGCTCAGAAGGCGGGAGCAGCAGATGCAAAAACGGCCTGCTTTGGCCTTAGATGTTACATCTCCACTAAATTTCATCAGATGTTAGCAGCACATGTTACATCTCCACTAAATCTCATCAGATGTTGGCAGCACATGTTACATCTCCACTAAATCTCATCTCTCTTCTGTTCTCTTCCCTTCTTCTCTCGTCCCTTTTTCTTGTCTCATTTCTTATTTTTTCGCATCAGTCGCATTCTTCACGTGGGAGCACCAGATGCAACTCCGGTCTGCTCTGACCCTGGATGTTTGATTGCCACTAATCCTCATCTCCCTACTTTTCTTTTCCCTTCTTTTCTTTTCCCTTCTTCTTCCCCTCCCATTTGCATCAGTCGCATCTTTCACGTGGAATACACGGCGCTGCAATCAGGAGCAGAAATACTTGCCAGCACTTGCAAAGCGAGTGTTCTCTCCCTTTCCACACCCAACCTCCCCTCCCCATCGCATCAGTCGCATCCTTCTCTTGGAATACACGGCGCTGCAAGCAGCAGCAGCGGCAGAACCTAGTCCTCAAGAGTGTTTGGTTCTCTCAATCTGCATTTCTCCTACCCACCCAACCTCCCCTTCCCAACGCATCAGTCGCATCCCTCACTTGGAATACACGGCGCTGCAAGCAGCAACAGTAGCAGACGCAGCTCTGGCAATTTTCGCACTCTCTCTTTCTCTCTTCCCTTCCTCTCCCCTTCCCATCGCATCAGTCGCATCCGTCACCTGGAATACACGGCGCTGCCAAGCAGGATCAGCCGCACTTGCCAGAACTTGCGATTCCCTGACTCTCTCTTCCTTTCTCTCTTCCCTTCTTCTCCCCTCCCCATCGCATCAGTCGCATCCTTCACGTGGAATACACGGCGCTGCAAGCAGGAACAGTAGCAGTCCCAGCTGTTGCGATTTTCTCACTCTCTCTTTCTCCCTTCCCTTCTTCTCCTTTCCCCATTGCATCAGTCGCGTCCTTCACTTAAATACACGGCGCTGCCAGCAGGATCGGCGACAGGAAAGCCGTGAGCAGGAGGAGCAGCGGGAGCAGCGGGAGGAGCAGAGGGGGGAGCGGAGGAGGAGCAAGCACAGGAAGAGCAATCGTGGGAGAAGCAGTGGAGAAGACACGGCCAGGGGTGCGGGTGACCAGAGCATCGTTTGCTGACCTGCAACTGGCTGCTGACCTGCAAGAGATTGTTCCTGTATTGAAGGTGAGTGTGGGAGGATGGAGTGGGAGGGGAAAGCAGTGGGAGGAGCAAGCACAGGAAGGGAAATCATGGGAGGAAGCAGTGGAGAGGGCACAGCGGGGGGTGCAGGTGGCTAGAGCATCGTTTGCTGATATGCAATTGGCTGCGGACCGGAAAGAGATTGTTCCTGTGTAGAAGGTGAGAGGGCCTGAGGTCAGTGCAAGGAAAACAGTGGGACTGGAAGTGTGGGAGGGGTTATTTTTGAGACGTCTCAAAAATAAATTATCTACACGTGGCTTTTGAGACGTCTCAAAAAGAAATTATCTACACGTAGCATTTGAGAGATCTCAAAAATAAATTATCTACACGTGGCTTTTGAGACGTCTCAAAAGTAACCTATCTACATGTCGTTCCCCTTCCCCAGACCATTGTGCACAGACGAATACAGCCTGTCGAACTCCTCTGCCCACTCGCCTCCTTCTCCCTCTCTGTTAGTTGACTTTTGAGTGGACTCACAAGTCACCTCGACTCAAAAGCCACCTCGACTCAAAAGCCACCTCGACTCAAAAGCCACCTCGACTCAAAAGCCACCTCTGACTCAGAAGTCACCTCGACTCAAAAGTCGCCTCCTCCTCCCTCTCTGCTAGTTGGATTCCTCCTCCCTTCCCTTCCCGCTTGCCATGCCTCACCCCTCTCCACAGGTGACCGTGCTATGCACAGACTGACCCAGCCCATTGAGCAACTCAGTTCACACTCGCCTCCTTCTCCCTGCCTCCGCTCTGCCTCCTCCTAAGATGCGCCCTGTCCCCACCCCCCCATCTCCCCCCCCCCCCACCCCCCTTACCCCCCCACTTCCACAGGTCACAGTGCATGGACCCACACAGCCCATCGAGCTGCTCACCTCACTCCCCTCCTCCTCCCTCGCTCCGCTCTGCCTCCTCCTCCTAAGAGCCCCCCTTTGCTATTGCCTTCCCGCCCAACACCCCCCTTCCCCTCCCCCCCCCCTCCCTTCCCCAGGTCACTGTGCATGTGCCAACACAGCCCATCGAGCTGCTCAGCTCACTCCCCCTCCTCCTAAGACCCCGCCCTTGCCATGCCTGTGCGCACCCCCTTCCCCCCCCTCCTCCCCAGGTCACAGTGCACGGGCCAATACAGCCCATCGAGCTGCTCAGCACACTCGCCTCCTTCTCCCTGCCTCCGCTCTGCCTCCTCCTCCTAAGAGCCCCTCCTTGCTCCCCTGAGAGTATCCGGCGCAGGACAGGGGGCGAACCGGAAACCTTGGGAACGCCGCCCTGTGCGAAGCTGCTGATTGGCTGGGCGAGTAATGCTGGTTTGCAGGCGGAGAGATGTGAGGTGGAACCGAATTTGAGGTGTACGTTTTATTCTCCTAAGCATTGTGCGACGTTGTTGAGAAAGGATAAGCTAAGATTGTGAGATTCTAATTAAGCAAAGTCTTCTGAACCTTTCGAGTGATGAAAATGGCATCCAGAAAGAAAAATGGGTGGTTAACAAGAGTGTTCTAGGTAAGTATGTTGAGGCACTCCTTGTTTGCCTTTGTAATTTCCGTTCACTTGGTCATAGCCTCGTGTTCGTTCCGTGTTCACTATTTTCACAGCTCGTCAAAGTATTGTTCAAGCTAACTGTTTCCAAATTTTTTACATAAACATACCAAACTTGAAACAGCTGGAGGACACAAAACCGAGATCAGTGTAGAGCGAACCGAGACTCGCCGACAACCCATTCACAGGAAGCAACCTGTCGCCGTTTCGTGGGGTATCTGACAGAGTTTACGAGGGAGATTTATGACGAGCGTCACGGCGATGAAGGTTACAAGGATTCCGCTTGTCGCTAACAAGATTTGGGTTCGAGTTCGTCATCGTGGAGGCTGGCTCTATCCCTCCTCCCCATCCGCGCGTGCTATGGCTTGAAAAAAAATCCATGTTGCGGATGTCGGAAGCGAGCCAATGGGGCTTGAGATTTAGCGCAACTATAATTGGACGACGAAATGCATCTGTCTTCGCTAGGAAAACTGATGGCTGCAATGGATGGCTGACATCTGTAACCTTGCGGTGTCCCGAAGAATATCTCAGCGGACAAGCGAGTCCGCCCAGGGGAGCTCGCTGCCCGCGGGCAAAACAAATAAACCCCAGAAGGGCATGCATCCGGTCAGGGAGGCATCAACCCTAAACACCATATGCCAGCCTCCAGTCGCCAGCTTTCAATCGCCAGCTTTCATTCGCCAGCTTTTTGCACTGTTCTATAGTGGTGGTCGTGTAACAGCGAATCGTAGCTGCATCTGCGAAGGCTCGCTTGCGAGGTATGACCTGATTGGCTGACGAGAAAATGGGCACGGCGCCGGATTTACAGCAGGCGGCGTCCCCACGTTTGCCCGCTATCAAAGTTCACCCACGCGGCTTGCAATTTCGCTAAATGTTGTAAAATGTGGAGAAACGCGGTTCCTTGTCTGGACACCAGTAAGTAACCAGTTTGAGCCTTACGATCTTGTTTCGAGGTCAACTGGTAACTCAATCCAACAGCTGACGACGACATCCGCAAGGCACGGTAGGCAGCTCATTAGCGGGGCAGGTTTACAAAAATAATTTGGGGAGAAAGCGCAAAACAAATGAGTACACTGCCACTCTAAGCGCACGAAATTGGAGTCGACTCTACCTCGAGCGCCTTAACACTTCGGGTCAATACACCATAATTATCCTACCACTAACCCCTTTCAGCATGACGATACTCGCCAGCGCTCTCTGATTGGGAGCGAACTTTGTTGCCGAATTTGTGATCGTATGCAGGGTCGTCAGACATAAATACCATGGTGTCCGAAGTGGGGCAGACCCCACCACGGACACCATCCTTCCCAAATTGTGAACCTGGTGGGAAAACTTGATGGCGGGCAACGTGGGAACGCGATAGGTTCTCATAAATGACTTGAAGCCTGGTTCTCAGACGGATCATCGGGGCGGTACACAGAAACATGAGTTTGGTTTCGGCACTGATCCATCTCGAGATGGTAACCGAACCTCGAAAATCAACTACCTTGTAAAGACCGACATGAAAACCCACGACGTTTTGTTTCAAGGGCTAACTCGTAACAAGGTGGGGTCTCAGGTCCTTAAGGCTGCGTCCTCACTGGAGCAGAACCCACGTTTCCTATGAAGCACGGAAAATCCCACCCTCCTGTGTGGCAAGGAAAATCCCACGCGATACCGAATCACAAGCGTTTCACTCCCTCCCATAGCTCTTCCTCCGCATGTCCTCTCTCTCCCACCCATTCCCTCCCCTTCACGCATGTCTCCCCTGCATTACTTGCCAAGTCAGTGAGCAAGAGGCCTGACAGTCAAACACCTTGCTGCCATGATGCTGCAAGCCGTAGCTACCAAGCCTGGGGCGGCCTGTGGTGGCTGGAATGCCAACGTGACTCTAGCAATTGCGGTGTGGTGTCGATACTTCTTCAATAGATTCTTGCACATCGCCTTGTCGTAGAAAATGGAGAGAGAGGAGAGGAGTAAGTGGTGGGAATACGGTACGCAGGCAGCCAAAGGAGTACTTGTGGCGCTGAGGTCACTATTAGCGACTCACTATGTACTACAGTACTGCACCGACGGTACGTGTACGCCCTCCACCGACATCTCATCCCATCCCCCACCTTTACGCCGTTCCTCTCCTCCACCCCATTCCTAGAGGATAGATGCTACTAGGATCAGAACAAACCGGGGAACGCTAGGTGCCAGATCCAAAGGAAGTTCAGTTCCTACGCTGGTACAATCCCCAATGGTTGACTCCACGAGTCATAACACAGCACACAACACTCAATTCGCTCCATTACTACACTCTCCAGATTCTTTCACTTCAGTCGGTTACACTACCACCATCACAACTACCGCAGCTGATGTTAGTAAGAATCGAGGCTGAAACACTAGCAGCGCGACTCGGCTGACGCGACTCCATGGCCGCGAGAGTTATCCGCGCACCAGACAGTTACTTCGAGGCTCAGGAGAGGTACAGAGTCCCTTCCCCCTCGGCAAGTCACTATCAGCGTTCCATGAATTACCCTGACGGCGATTACTACCCCGCCGCGCATCCTGCCACAAATTCCGCAAATGCGCACTGTAGCTCGGCGGCTCAACCTCGTTTCATCGCGCCGCCTCTCGACGCCAGCTGCTTCCAATCTCCGTCGACGTTCGACTGGTCTCTGTCAACTTTTGACGGATCTCCGTCAGCCCTTGATGATTATTCGTTCGAAGCCGAGAATTCGGCCATCGAAGCATTCCAAAACACATCCCCGCACTCTCTGTTACCAAGTTACGCCAGCCACGACTTCGCCAAACGCGACGCCGA